GAGAGGCAGGCAGACCGCAGCAGAGTACAGATTCATATCCCTCTCCCTCAACAACAAAAAACACCCACCACGCTGAAAATGAGAATTCCCACCAATATATCAGCTGTCACGCTTGTGGGAATGTGTATTCTTCGGGGTTGGGCGGGCTTTATTAGCAGGAGCAGGTGGGTAGCGTTTTCTGCCAGATTCCGGTTAGGGCTGACTGGTTAGGATTCGGGAAAGCAAAGTTTAGCACTCAGGGATGTGTAAAGGAGGTGGGGGTGTAAGGTTCATGTTTGGGTTTAACTAAATCCGAAGCCTTGAGCCCCACATCCAAGGCTCTCTATAAGCCCTCGGCGCCAAGTCCCAAACCGCAAGCCTTTAGCCCTAAACCCCAAGCCCTAAACCTTCCGCCCTAAACTCAAAACCCCCAAGCCCTACAGCCTAAACCTGAAGTCCTGAACCTTAAACCCTAAGCCCTGCAAGCCTAAACAGTATGAACTCCTAATATCCCCCTCAATAAGCCCTATAAGAGTCCCCTTTATAATCCCCCATGTCAGCCCCTTTTAGGAGTTTAAACCCTAAACCCCTAAACCTTAAACCCCTAAAACCCCCCAACCCCGAAACCTTAAACCCTAAACCCCTAACCCCTAAACCCCTAAACTGCCGATCCGAAACCCTGCAGTCCACGTAGTGGTAGCAGAGTGGGGAGCTCGACGAGGACCATCTTAGAGGATTTTCGGTTGGCTAATGTAGGGGCAACTTTAGGGATACCGTAGGATTTGGGGCTAGGGCTTAGGATTTAGGGTTTAGGATTTAGGGTTTAAGGTTTAGGGTGCAGGAGTTAGGGTCCAGGCTTTATAGGGCTCTTGCAATCCAAGAAAAGAGAAAGAAATGGACAAGACCTTGGAAAATGCAATGGAAACTGGGCTTATATAAGGAAGTGTAGTGTAGCGGCCTAGATGATTACCACTATGATGTTGAGGTTTATTTGAGATACCTTATACCAACCCCAAAACCAAAACCCTGAATCCAGCCCCCTATCCCCAAACCGCATGCAAAAAACATGACATAGCAGAGTTAATCTAACTAGCTACAACTTCAACATTATGTCTGCTTGCTACAAGCTAAATCCTACCAAACCTTTCTTTCCCCCACAACAATCGCGAAACAACCAGAAATAATAGTGGTTCCAAAACACTTTTTACAGATTAGGGTCCTTGCCTAGGAAGTTGCTGTTTTGGGAACACGGCCCCAAGGCAAACAGCGAAGATTCAAACTGGAAGGCTCAGACCATGGGTTTAGGGCTTAGGATTTCTTTGGATGGTTGAAGCTAGACAGTTTCTATTCTAAACCCTAAACCCTAAACTCTATTGTATGCTTCCTGTAGAAGGCCATACCCAAAAGGAGGATCTACTCTTAAGCCATCCTCAGGAGCTTCATATCTCTGAATAAGATACTGCTCTGTCAGGTTCCCTCTTGGTCCTGTTGGGGGTTTAGAGTTTAGGTTTTGGACCGTTTAGGCTCTAATCTTTTGGGTTAGGGTGGCTAGCCTTCATCCTACAAACTCTTTAGGACGTGGGGTTTAGAATTCTGAGGCAAAATCACCTTTCTGCCCGCAGGGTTCTAAGACTGACGCGAAGATTCTGAATGATAATGTTCATGAAACCTCATTAGTTAGCCCTCTAAACCCCAAAATCCTGAACCCTTTGTGAACACCAGAAACCATACACCTTAAACTCCTCGATTGTGATTAAATCCTGGGATTCTCCACGTATTGGCAATTGCTCAAGATTCTACATGAATATTGGGCAAGCCCCCAAACACCTAAATTCAAAATCCTGAACCCTAACCCTAAGCTGTAGATCCAAAACCCTAACACTCCTAAACCCTACAGCACCTATATACAGACTCCTAAACCCCTACCCTACAACCCCTAAAGAGAAATCCCTAAACCGCTCAGGTGAACCATTTAAGTGAAAGCCAGGAGCATGAGAGAGCCGACATTGGAAAATCCGCCAAAGACCAGGATGCAGTCCTTGCGCAAGGACAGAGGGTTTTGGGTTTCGGGGCTTAAGGCTGAGGGTTTAGGGATTTCAGGTTTGAGATCAGGATCTAGACTTTGAGGATTAAAGCTTATGGTGTCGGCCTCAAAAATACCACGTTGCCGGGATTCCTCGGGCCGCTTCTTTAGGGGGTTAGAGTGTAGTGTTTAGGGTTAATGGTTTAAGGTTTAGGGTTTAGGGTTTAGGGTAGGATTTTGGGTTCAGAGCTTAACATTCAGGGTTTGGGGTTCTGGGGGTACTGTCTCCGGGTAGGTTTAGGACCTATAACCCCTACAACCCGTATAACTTAGTTATGCCAGTTTCTGCATCATTCGCCAAATTACTGAGTCCCCCTGACCCTCCATGTGGGCTATAGTCTAAACTCCAAATATCCGTCTTAGTAGCCCCTAGAATGCTCCGCTATATAATCCCCGGCCCATATAACTCCCCTTAAAGAGTTTAGACTATGGCTCATGTAGGCGTGATATGGGGCCTGGAGGCCATGCACCAAGCACCTGACTGAGCTTGAAAGGCGTGGCGCCTGGGGTCCTGCCGGCTTTGGGGGCCTGGGACGAAAACAACGACCTGGAGAGTACGGCAACCCAAAAAACAATCTACAACCAAAGCCACCCAAGTTTTGGGATCCAAGAAGCAGTTCTTCCATGGACGACCCAAAAGCCCAAACCTTGAATCTTGAACCCTAAACCCTAGATCTTAAACCCTTAACAACACCAGGGCGCCGATTGCATCGTGAACGACGCTGCATGCCCGGCTCGAGGCTCGTAAAAGCTCATGGTAACCAGCGTCGAGGTCTGGAAGGCTTAAGTCAAGGCCGTTTAGGGTTTAAGGTTCAAGGATTGATTAAGGCTTAGGGAAGTAGCCGCTACTTCCAACTGGGCTTGTAACACTACATATGAGCAGTTACCACGTCCTATGAACCTTCAGGCAAGGCTTAGGAAAAATGAGACAGCCTTCAAGGGAGTATGCAGGAAGTATAGAGGAGTGTAGGTAGAGGGTCTAGGGTTTAGGGTTTGGGATTGAAGGTGTAAAGCTTAGGGTTCAGGGTTAGCGTTTGTGGTTTAGGGCTTTGGGTCTCACAACCATACACGGCTGCTCATGGCTCTCTGCTGACACAAAATGGTCTCTGCCTTTGTGCCCGGCAGATTCTTCATGGAATTTCGCCCAATTCGTCACACATGCATCCGAGGCAGCTGCAGATGCAGATGGGACATGGACATCTTTAGTTGCTTTGGCTCAATGTTGTTTGGGGTTTAGGCTTTAGGTTTTGGGGCTAGGGTTCCTCGAAAGGGCCCTTCGCCTTTGTTGAGGAGAATGAAACCCCTGCAAGTTCTGCATACAGGGCGGTGATTAGTTCAGAGCCAACAGCCCAAAACCCTCAAGGTTCTACTCCGACTTGCTCAACGCCCACCAACACGAACCCAGTAAAACCTAGAGAAATGCTCCGTGCTTGCGCTCACCATAAAACGCTAGGCCTTAAACTGCTCAACCCTCTCGACGTATATGTATATATATATATAAACTTTACGGGGGCTGTGGTGCTGTTTTGTTGTTTTCATTAGCATCTTAGGATTTTCAGGTTTCGGATTTAGGGTTTAGGGCTGGAGGATTCTGCAAGCCGCTGGAGGCCGGAAGCTTGAAGGAAGTTGGAGGCGGGGAGCTGGGGCCCTGGAGCTTTTGGAGGCCTTGTTAGGGTTTAGGGTCCAGGGTTCAGGGTTTAGGGTTTAGGGTTTCGGGTTTAGGCCCTGGAGGGCCTGGACCCATTGAAATCTTGTCAATTGAAAAACATCGGAAATTGAGCTTGTTTCAATTGAAACTACAGAAAGGAACGCTGTGGAGCACCCATTTTTGCGTAATTTGGGTTTGTTAGGGTTTACAACGTATTCATACCCTCCAAAGCTCCACCCTCTAAAACTAATGCAGACCGCCAAAGCCTCGAGATACATAAAAACGGGCCTGAAGGCTGTTGGGGGGTTTTCGGAGACCCCGGAAACGGGCGTTCAACATTAGAAACAAAAATGCATGTGGGATATAGGGGGCAAGTGGCGAGCGAAGAAAGAAAAACAAATAGACATGTTAAATGAAAAGGGATTCTGGGAGGGTGGGGTGATACCAAGAAAGTGGAATAGAAGAAGCCTAGCTAATCGTTTGGACTTGAGATGCTGAACCATCACCCTAAACCCCAAACCCGAAACCCTCCTGAACTTGGGGCCCATGAGCAAAGACTGGCGTTTTTCTGGAGGGAAAGGGTACATCCCTGCAGACCACCCTGAACCCTGACTTAAATTAAACCCTCCTGGTGTAAGGTGTTGGGGGTTTAGGGTTAAGGCTTTCGGGTTAGGGTGTAATCAGGGCTTAGGAATATAGCCCTGCTGCAGGGAGGCTGCAGATGTGGGTTAGGTCATCCCCCTTAGCACAGCCCAGAACCGCAAGGGGACCGAACAACTAGATCCTCTAGGATGGCATGGGAAGTCCTGTAGTTAAGGGCTTAGGGTTTAGGACTTTACAAAACCCGTATACGGGGGGTTGTGGATTTGAAGCCATATGTTAGGCAAATCCAACCGGAGCAGCTTTCCGATGATTCCTTGGATTCTACAGGAACACAACCACAAGAGTGATTTCTCCGTTGAAACTGTTGAGGCACAACCCCGAAATCCTAATTCCAAAGCCCTACATCCTAAGCTCTGCAGTTCTCGGTCCTAAACGCTAGACGCCTTTGCAGCTCAACGCCCTAAGCCCGAAAACGCTACACCCCTCAACCAATAAATCCTTAAACCCTATATCATGGGTCATCCCCCTCCCAGCAACTGTCCTTGCCGGGGTCGTAAAGGGAAAACTATAAGTCCTTTTGCCTTGCTTGCGCGGTAACTCTTACTGCGAGGGGGAATAGCATAAGCGAAACCCTTTTCAACCAACAAATCCTCAAACCCTAAACCCTACCCAACAGCTTTCCGGTGCCTGGATGTTGAAGCAATACATATGCGCATAGGTCCTCTGGCTTTCAAAGTTCCAAACTCTTGGGTTTAGGGTTCCTGGTTTAGGATTTCGGGTTTCGGGTTTAAGTTTCAGGGTTTAGAGTTTAGGGCTTAGGGATTAAGAGCAGTCATTATTGCGGAATCGCTGCGGCCTTGTCTGCCGCTTTGGCAGCGCGGGCTTTCGCCCGTCTCACTGGGGGTTTCTCCGCCTCCTCTGCCTCTTTCTCTTCCGCCTTGCGCTCGGCCGTGGCAGCCTGCGACAGAGAGCTCTACTTACCCCTATAAGTGTCTGCTACGCGGGGGAGCGGCCTTCTCTGCCTGCAAGGTTAACCAGGCCTCGATTTGCCTTGAGTACCTGTCGACGTCGGCTTGCGAAAAGCCGGAGTTGACCTGCCAGGGCTGACAGTCACTCCTTGCACCTCCACATCCGCTACTTGAGGCCGCAGGCAGGTACTCTTTGAAATGGCCCGCCCTCTTCTCCAGTTGCTCTTCTGGGTCCAGAGTAAACGAGAAAAGTTTCCAGTGGCCTCAGAGCACTACCATGGTACCTGCTGCTGCACTGCTTTTTTTCTGAGGCACGGGCGGCGGAGGGCACGCAGGAGCGTCTCCCAGGCAACCGGCGCTGCAGCCGCTTCTTGTGGCTGCCGCCATCAGGCGGCTCCTTCGAGAGCTTTCGAAGCTCGGCCTGCTTGGCCTCTGCCCGCTCAGCTGCTGCGTCCTCCGCCTGCCAGGATGCCGTCTCTATTTCACCTGCGCTTGCAGCAACGACGCCTCGGCTGTTGGCCGGGGTAGGTCCC